TGACATAAATGTTAGATAATTATGGGACCACTTCATATATATGTAATGTTATCATGAAATCAATTTATTATGGTAAGAATATAAATTGTTGATGGTCCGATTTATAGAATATTTACTTACGATGTGGGTTGAGTTCCCGGTTTGACTCAAGATCCTCAAGATCCCTTCCATCTCTCACATTAGGGTTTATATCCATCTATAAATATATGTGATGAGGAGCAAATCAATACACACGAAAATACATTAAGAAATTCGTATGGTTCATTGCTGAGGGATTTAGAGAGAGTTCTTGAGATCAACTGAAAAACTCTTCCTAGTCTCTAGATCCGAAAATCTCAATGGAACAAGGTTTTCTTTTAATTAGATTCAAGATTAAAGATCTTCGAGATTAATTAGATTCGAGATTAAAGATCTTCATATTATGCTTCCGCATTTATGTTTTTGGTTATCAAAAATAACCAACAATTGGTATCAAAGCCAACTCGAATATTTTATCAGAAACTTGGATTGGTTTTAGTTTTTTTGATTTTTCGAACTAAAACATACCTTTAAGATATATGTTATTTTACTCTTCTCGATCCTGCCAACATTTTATTAAAATCAGACAGCATAATATGGTGATTTGTATGAATTTCTTTGTGTGTATATATCACGAACATTAGTGATTTAGCAATCATGGGATATAGCTTGATGTATTTTTTGTTTTGGTTTTGGCAATATTAGCTTGAAATCTTTTCTTTTACTGTGTGTTCTCATAATATGAGACAATACAAATTATGAAGCAGCCAACCCATGATATAATTTTATCATAATAAAATATAATAACACATGGTTTGGAAACAAATAAACTGTAGTTTACTCAAGATTATTCATGTGTTCTATTGGTAATTATGATATTTACAAAAGTTACGAAATCAGTAATTTTAATACCATTAAATTTATGTATGGAAAAGGCTTTTAACATATTCGTTTTATCTCTTAAACAAATCTCTTACAGTTTTGTAAAGATTGATTTATTATTATTATTATTATTATTATTATTATTATTATTATTATTATTATTATTATTATTATTATTATTATTATAATATGTGTTAAAAGCCTGGAAGAGATTTGAGAATTCCTATATATTAAGTAGCTATATCCCATGCACTTAAACCCCATTTTTGGCGTTTTATGAGGTTTATTGGAGTAATTACTCGATAAAATAACATTTGAAGAGATAAAATAATTTGTCTAAAAAGTTCTAGGGTGTTTAAAGAAATGGCTGGACCTGATCAATTTCTATCAGGTGATAGATTAATTTGATAATAATATGTGAAAATTAATATACATTATAATATATGGTTTTGTAAAAGGAAACCATATACTTTTAATGGAATACTTGAATCTTTGGCTTATGAACATCATTTTTTTTGTTAGTGATTGGCATAATATTGTTACCAAAGTAACCTCTATTATTTTAATCAATTTGGTTATACCATATTGCTTATGTGAATTGTGTTCCACCTAAAGGTATACCTTATACACAATGTCACACATTGGCAAATATTTTAGGTTGTAAATAAACTACACTTATGACATGTTTATTTATTTTCATAGTAAATTAATTAACACAATATATCGCCAAAGTGATCTCTTTTGTGAAAATTGATTTACAAAAACTTAAATTTTATGGTTTGTGTGTATTAATGTGAATATTAATTGACCCAAAGGTGGATTAATATTTGGCCACATGAACGCATGTTTGATGATAAATATGCAACAATATTTAGGTTACATGTTATTAATAATTCAATCCAAAGAGGGGCTTATTAAATGACATGATATATTGTCAATTCTTATTATCAAAATTTATAGTTTATGAGTTTATTAATGCGGGTATTAGCCGACCCAAAGATAGACTGATATTTGGCCAAATAAACATATATGTGGTGATAAACGTGTGATGATTTTTTGGTTCCATGTGATTAATAAGTCAATCCAAAGAGGGGCTTGTTAATTGACATGATTTATTGTCAACATTTATCTCTAAAATAAGGATATCTCTTGCAAGTTAGTATTACTGTTCAAAGACTTGATATTAATGTTGTGTTGATACCTTGTAAAAATGTCATAAATTGAAATTATAGATTACGATTTATGGATTAATGAGCATAAAAGTAGATTTACCTATATTCTCAAAACATAAATTTGAATTATGGTATTATACATGTTAACATTGATCACATTTATGATTCTTACTCAATGAGATTAACTTTAAGGAATGCAATGAGGACATTAATGCAATGAGGACATTATGTTAGTTCTCAATTGTGTGGATATTGACCATTCATTTTGGATAGAGTGACATTCTTTGAGGATGTTGAGTTTGGGGGAGAAACAAGGTTAAAACATTATCCTTAAGGAGGAATCAGTATTGATTCCTATTATTGCTTTCGATAGTATGCAAATTATGAATCAGTGATCGACGATGTTTTTCAATCTCCTATTTTGAAAACACAAACTCAACAACCTCAACTTTGGATATCCTATGCGTGGTACCGCATTTTTCATCAATTTATTATCTCTTTTGGTTTTGGGGTAAATACAGTAAATGATATTGTGTATCACATATTAAGTGGGAGTAAATTTATCTTTATGGTTTTGGATCGATATCTATGCAACCCAAGTTTGGGTCATAAGAAAGTAGCCAAATGAATTTTGAGATATCTATGTATAACAAAAGGCTATATGCTTAACTATAGGAAATCAGATGTTTTAGAGATCATTTTTATTAAAAATCTGATTTTATTAGATGCCAAAATGGTTACCGATCCATATCGGGATACTTTTACATTTTAGCATGATGAGCCACTTCATGGAATAGACTTCGGTAGCTTCTTCCATAATTGCATCATAATTTATAGCATGGAATATGGTTGCGAAAATTTGTCACGAGGCTACACATTATTGGTTTTGAAAGACCATTAAAGTTGTGATAATAAATCAGCAATGTTATATTCCAATAACAGAAGTTCTATTAAGTCAAAGCATATTGACATCAAGTTTCCTTCTGTTTACACAATAGTGAAAAATGGAAATATATATAACACATATGAACAAACTCCATGAAAGCGGATCCGCTCATAAAGGGATTACCTCCCTAGGTCTTTCATGAGCATACTACACACGTTGGTGTGATATTTGGTTTTAGTGGGAGTTTTATGGTGCGTTATGTCTTGTTTAAGAATATGTTTTTCTGTACAGAATTAAGAATTCGATTAACTCCATTATTAGTTGCACTTATTTGAAGTTTGATCTCACTTCAAGTTAAAAAGGAACTCGTTGGAAATCTATTTAGATTTTAAAACCACACTTCATGTTTAATCTATGTCGTTAGTTATATATGTATATGTGACCATTGATAGGTTTAGTTACGTAAATTGTAACAAAGACCGCTTTGATCCTATACTATTATGATTAGTGGACGAGATTGTTTAAGGGTACCAATATTATAATAAAATTCACTAAAGCGCTTATACAGTTATATGTACATTTATATATTTGTGGTCCAGTGGAGATTGTTAGATAATTATGGGACCACTTCATATATATGTAATGTTATCATGAAATCAATTTACTATGGAAAGAATATAAATTGTTGATGGACCGATTTATAAAATACTTACTTACCATGTCGGTTGAGTTCCCGGTTTGACTCAAGATCCTCAAGATCCCTTCCATCTCTCACATTAGGGTTTATATCCATCTATAAATATATGTGATGAGGACAGTGGCGGAACCATAAATTTTGACCAGGGGTAGCACAAATATTTTTCCTGATAAAATATGAGAAATTATACCAAATTAAACACACAAAATTAACTGGTTATGAAGAGGCAAATATAGAGAGATGAACTAAAAAGAAAAAACATACCTTGTAAATTTTATCTTTAGGCCATTGTGTCTAGACTTTCCTCCCAACCAGAGGATCAGAGCAAGTATCACCAGATTTTGTTTAAGAGCTTCACCCCTGCAACTGAAACTTGTATGATGTTGAAGCATACTGCATAAACTTCATTAAAAGACTGCATAATAATGAAGTTTATTATAAAACTAAATGAGGTTAGTTGTACATGATGAGTAAATATATATTTCATCCTCCTAATCAAATCATCAAAGTTATATCCAGACATAAGCTAATCTGCATCATCATATGTCAATTTCAATTGGTGGGTTAATGCGAAATTAGTGAACTTTACATACAAGCTCTCACAGGAATTTCATCGAACAGTTGGTGGGCTAGTGTTACATTAGTGAACTTTACATACAAGCTCAATAGTGTTACATCAAAATGATCAGATTGATAGGAAATTATGCTTCAGTCTAGTATTTGCTTAGAATAACAAGTTTTGTTGTGGATAATTTTGCAAATTAATAGGAACTTATGTTTTCGTGCAGTAAATTTATGTTTAATTGTAGTAAATTGGATGAGAATAAATTGAATACATACTTAGAAAAGACAATCAAATTGGAAGTTTGATACCAATTCTCAAGCTAATTGGACCTAGTATGGCCATTTTCTGTCTGATTCATCATCTTCCTAAACAAAGGAGTAGCACTTCGTTAAACTACCAGCAACATAGTTGCAACGTAAAAAAAAATTACATATCTCAAATGACCTTGAGGGGTAGCCCGGGCTACCCGGGCTCTTAACTAGCTCCGCCCCTGGATGAGGAGCAAATCAATACACATGAAAATACACTAAGAAATTTGTATGGTTAATTGCTGAGGAGTTTTAGAGAGAGTTCTTGAGATCAACTGGAAAGCTCTTCCTAGTCTCTAGATCCGAAAATCTCAATGGAACAAGGTATGTAATCATTCTTTCATGTTTAAGTTTTCTTTTAATTAGATTTGAGATTAAAGATCTTCATATTATGCTTCCGCGTTTATGTTTTTGGTTATCAAAATAACCAACAATAAAATCTGGTCTTTTGATGTGTTAGCTTTTGACAGAGATGGATGGGTTTGAGAAGGGTGCTACTAACAGACCCGAGTTACTGGATTTTGCTTTGATGAGACCGGGTCGGTTTTCCAGGAAAGTGGTTGTGGGTAAACCGGATGAAGATGGAAGGAGAAAGATTTTTGCTTTATTTTTACAAAAGGTGCCAATGGAAGAGGACAAATAAGTCATTTGTGACCTTGTTGCTTCAAGTACACCAGGGTTAGTTGGGGCTGATCTTCAAAATATAGCTAATGAGGCTGTAATGCTTGCTGCTCGTAGAGGTTTGTGCTAATTGCTAACATAACATTCACTTAAGTGTTTAGATATAGCAATGTCTTGATTATGTTTGTGTATGTTGTTAGGTGGTGATTTTGTGACCAAGAAGGATGTTCTTGAAGCTGTTGAGAGGGATACAACGAATATTTGTAACAATGATACTAACGGTGAAGCTAAATCACCATATTTGTTTGCACAAATGGCATTAGAAAGCATGCATGTCTAGGGATGCTGATTTCCAGCTAATCATCTACAGGATTTATTCAAGATGGAGAATTCAATTTTGGTGTTATTAGATTTCATATATATTTAGCTTGTTAGTACATAGATCTTTTAGGATAATTAATTCTATTTTCATAGAGGCTATATTTTGTTTTTCACATTTTTTGAACCATGCCAAAACAGAGGCATGCTAAAGGTGCAACTAAAGTATGTTTCCCTAATCGTAAAAGTCTAAAAAAGTCCAAGTTTCACATAATGATAAAATGCCCCTATATTGATAATCTTTTGTTCCATCTTTTTATATGTGATTCATTCATGCTTCCAAGTATGACAAAATGATAAACTATCTTTTTATAAGCTTTTGATTGTATGATGTTGAAATGTTTTATAGTTAAATTTACTATTTGTTTGATTTTATGTAAAAAATTTGGAAAAATTAAACAAACAGTAGGGACAGGATGTAAATTGTGTCCAAACACCTATGGGGATGACAACTCGTCGCTATAGGTGTACCTATAGGGACGACATGTCGTCTCTTTAGGTGTACCTATTGCAATGAAGGCTACGGTGACGACAAAATGAGCTAAAGCAACGAGGCCTATGGTGACGACATGTCGTCCCTGGCGTCTATAGCTACGACTTTGCACCCTAAAGTGGCGATTTTTGTTGTTCCTATAGGTCTTTATTCTTGTAGTGATACCAAGTGTTGCAACTCAGGTTCTGTTGTTTTTCCGCACCATCTTCCTCCCTCGCATTTGTTGTTAGAATATTTTGAGGATGATCACTTTATGCATAATATTAGAGCCTACAATTCCATGTTCGCTATGACCTCTTTTGGTGCACAGGTTGATGACTTGATCAATAAGGGTCGTTAACCTTATGTCTTTAAGGTTTCTGGCCAGATTCCGCATTGGATTGGGTCATTTTGTATGGAGCCAAGTCAGCATCCATGTTTTTTGCAGTTATATATGCGTGACACGGACAATGAGCTATCTAACAGACTTCATTCTTTCTGTAATGAGGATGATGTCCACTTATCTCCGGTTGTTGTGGAATCTTTAACTCATATGTTAAATACACATAATGAATATGTGCGTACCTTTAGAACAACAAAAGAAATAGCTCACTCCATGAAATTGGATTCATATGGTGTTAGGTTATTTGCTTTTGTCCCCAATAGAAGATATGGGCTGCCGGTTCCCGGTACTTTGGGTTGTATCATTTGTGGTGATGATGCAACTGGAACCACCTATGATATCATCGTCTACTCAAAGTCAGGCCTAGCTAACCGTGTTACTAAGCTTCATGTAAGTTATATCCCCTTGCAATATCCGTTGCTGTTTCCATACGGGGAAGATGGTTGGTCGCCCATATTACATCTTCGTACTCAAAAACAGGGGATATGAGTTTGACTAACAACATGTATTATAGTTATCGGATACATGAGGGTCATGCCATTTACTCTCTTATCTTACACGGTCATCGCCTTTTCCACCAATATTTGGTTGATGCTTACACTTGCATCGAGCAATCTCGTCTTTATTTTATTGAGCACCACCAACAACAGCTACGTATCGAATACATAAGTGGCGTATATGATGCCTTATCCATGGGCGACACAGATAACAATGTCATTGGTAGGAGTGTATTAATCTTCCTTTCCTCTTTTGTTGGTGGACCCAGGTACATGTATAAGCACTACCAGGATGCATTGGCCATATGTAGGGTTCATGGGAAAACGTAGTACTTCATCACATTCACTAGCAGTGTTAGATGGCCCGAGTACAAGAGATACATGGACTCCGTTAGTCAACATGATATTCAAAATAGACTAGATATCATTGCGCGAGTATTCAAGATAAAAGTACATAATTTTATTAATTTTCTTAAGGAAGACAAGAATTTTGGAGAAGTTACTGCATATACGTTCCTGTCTTTTCATTTCATTCTTTGTTAAACGCTTATTTTTTACTATTTTTCTGCCTTATATTATATTCATGTGCTTTCATTTGATATACAGATCTTTATACCATCGAATTTCGGAAGAGAGGTTTACCTCATTGTCAAAACCTTCTATGGGTTGCATCACCTTTCAAAATACACGAGGGCAGAGATATAGACAAGTACATTACTGCAGAGCTTCCCGATCCGACCCTTGAACCTGCACTGTATAGGACTGTTACCACGTGTATGCTACATGGTCCTTGCGGTTTACTAAATACAGATGCTCCATGTATGCAAGATAATAAATGTAAGAAATAGTTTCCAAATCCATTTAACTCATTCACAACATTTGATGATAATGGGTACGTCCATTACAAAAGGCACCTCGGAGTGTATCGCGTGTTACAAAGCGGTGTACAACTTGATAATGGCTATGTCGTGTCGTACAACAAAAGATTGTGCAGTCGCTTTGATGCTCACAAAATGTTGAAAATTGTGGTTGGAACATGATGATCAAATATTTATTCAAGTATGTGTCGAAAGGGGTTGATCGTGTTCGTTTTTCCCTTCAATCATCTGAAGCCGAAAACACCGCCTCCTGTTCTACAACACCTGTCGCTACATATGTCCGCACAAAGCTGCATGGAGGATCCTAAAATTTTCCATCCACGAACGTCATCCACCTGTACAAGTTCTAGCCATGCATTTGGAAAGCATGTTACCTACTGTTTTTAAAGAGAACAATAAATTATCGTCTTTGATTGACAAACCAGGGTTTGGCTTTACTACATTAACAGAATCGATGCAAAACAATCAACGAGATTCTCGTGGGAACGACCTGACATACATCGAGTACCCCACAAAATATCGTTGGGACACGAAACTTAAAGTTTGGATTCATAGGACCGTCACAGAAAATACGATTACAACTAATGCTCTCGGTCGGCTTGCATATGTACATCCGACGGCTGGAGAATTGTTTTATTTACGAATTTTGCTATATCATCAAAAGGGATGCAAATCCTTCGATAACGTTAGAACGATACGTGGGACAACACACAATACATTTTGAGAGACATGCGAAGCTTTAGGATTAACCGGTAATGATAGAGTGTGGCTAACAGCTTTCAATGAAGCATCTAATTGGGCAATGTCACCTGAGCTTCGCTCTTTATTCTGTCATTTACTTCTCTTTTGTGAGGTAGGTAACCCTCCTCTATTGTGGGAGGCAGCAAAGTCCAAAATGAGTGACAACATAACCTATGCCTACACTTACAATGCCCCATCTTCTAATGCCATCATACATCCAACAAAAGTAGAGCAACAAATACTCCTCGAAATCCAAAAAATATTACTTGCATCCACCCCATCAAAATCTCTTTCAGATTTCGGGTTACCAATGCCATCCCCATCTGTTCTTTCTGTCCTCAAAACTCGTCTACTTCTTGAGGAAAGTAACTACAATACATAATTATTACTTTCTCAGCATGCGTCAATAGTATCACAGTTGAATCCTGAACAACTGAGAATTTACCAAGCTATTAGTTAGCTTTGGTTAAAGTCAAGTTCGCTAGAGTAGTTAGTGTAACCGTAGTTAAGTCTTACATGTAATAGAATATAAATAGCATTCTACTTGTAATAGAATATAAATAGCATTCTACTTGTAACAGTTACAGTTAACACAATACAACGAACTCTGATTTCGTTTCTCTTTTCTCTCTCTAGTTTCTATCTCTAAACATTGGAACCGTGGTTGTGATGGTGCTTCCGGATGAGATGGGCAGTAACATATAGCCCATTTCAGCATTTCTCTCTTTCATGTTAAATTGATAGTAAGGGCAAAAAGGTCAAAAAATATTCAATTTTAAGTGGATGGATAAAATAGAGAAGTGGAAATATAGCTCCTTTTAAATTTGTAATGCAATCCTACTTTTATAACTGTAATCTTATAAAATACTATAGATATTGTCCAAAGTCAAACTATGAATATTTTAAATTTATTATTATTAACTTTTGCTATAAATACTACAATTGTCGAAAGTCAAATTGTAAATACTTCAAATTCATTGCCATTAATATCCACAAATGTTATTTTCTTATATAGTGATTTGTACACAGAACTTTTTAGCCATACACAATAATTTATGCTTTATATAATTGTATTGTACACCTGTATTGAATATAATTTGTTGTGTCTGGCTAAAAAATGTTGAGTACGGATCATAACCCTTTCCTATATATATGCCCAAAACTTATATTCTCCGACGCTATATCTAGGAAAGCTTTAATCTACAAAATAATCTTGATTTTGTGGGATTCGAGATTCATCTTAATAGTAAAAACACATAATCGATCAAAAATGGCGAAATTAAAGTCAAGTTTCCTTCTGCTTATGGCCATGGTAGTTGCATCCATGGAGTTCGAGCCTTCGAGGGCTCAACAGCAAGAGAGTATTTCATTGGTGAATCCAAAGGTTGGACTGTGCCACAAAATCCAGGTTTCTATGTTAGGTGGCCACTATTCCATATCTTCAAAATCAATGACGTTCTTGTTTTTAACTTCACCAACGGAGTAGGTTAATTAAAAATATCACACAAATACTTTTTTATTAAAACCTTAAACCAAAATACCAATAAATCAGCATATTAGTTTTCAATACATCTAATTTACACCAAGCAGGTAAATAACTAACACAAATAACTCTTTTAATTTTTTGTCTCATCGATATCCAACACATCTTTTAGCCTGAATCATAGAATTTTTATCAATAACTTTGAAATTGTGTAAGCAACAAAGGGTAAACGTTCTTTTGATACAAAAGAAAATTTATCAGACATCCACGTATTTCTAGGTGTAAACAAATACGTAAATATATATATATATATATATATATATATATATATATATATATATATATATATATATATATATATATATATATATATATTTATTATATTTTTTGAAATTTTTTATATCAATTTTTTTAATAAAAAAAATCAATGTCACCGTGTAATATTGAACATATTATAGCATTATGTGTTTATAATATATAGAATATTA